CACCTAAAGCCGTTCTAGAATGACAGAGGTAGCCAGGCATGGTAGCATATGCTTGGAATTCCAGCAGGAACATTCCAAATTTGAGGTGGCATGGGTACACAATCAGACCTGTCTCAAAAAAAAAAAAAAAGATAGCAGAGGCTAGACAAGTTGAATTCGAATCTGAGATCACTCTGAGGGTCCAAATCCAGAATGTGTACGACTATAAACCTCTATCTAGCTAACCCTAGACCACACAAGTCCATAATCATGAGGATACCAAGATGTGTGGTAATTAAATAATATTCCTATTAAATAAAGAAGTTAGATTATCAACACATACATTTCTCATGAGTATATATAAATAAAATGGAAGTGCCTCTGTATGGGAAGAAGGGCTTCCAAGGATTATAATCATTCAATTAGTACCTTCTTCACTGAGCCCTCTAGGACACTGAATGTAGCATACCAAATCCTAATTTATTCCTCAAAATACGTCCAGTCCATTTTTATCCTACTACAGAGATACTTGAATATCCATGATTACTGCTGCCCTGTTCACGATAGCAAAGAAACGGAACCAGCCTAAATGCCCAACAAATGCACAGATAATGAAAATATGATAAAGTGCCTGCAAGAAAGCCCAGCAGGACAAGGTCCCTGGCACCAACCTCATGACCTGTGTTCAATCCCCAGGATCTACATGGTGGAAGGAAAAAGCCGACTTCCAAAAGCTGTCCTCTCACCTCCAGATATGTGTTGTGGCACACAAATACACACATTCAAGTAACAAAAACGTTGAAACCGTGATAGATATGTGGTGGTTTGAATGAAGATGGGTTCATATATTTGAATGCTTGGTCCCTAGTTGGTAGCAGTGTTTCGGAAGGATTAGGAGGTGTGGTGTTGTTGGAGAAAGCATGTCACCGGGAGTGGACTTTGAGGTTTCAAAAGCCCATAACAGACAGGCCCAGTCTGTCTGTCTGTCTGTCTGTCTGTCTCTGTCTCTCTCTCCCCCCTCCCTCCTTATCCCCTACCAGCCTTCTGCCTGTGGATCGGGATGTAAGCTCTCAACTACTGCTCCAGCACCATGCCTGCCTGCCTGCCTGTCCTCACACTCCCTGCCATGAGGGTCATGGACTCACCCTCTGAACTGTAAGCAAGGCCCCAGTTAAATGGTGTCTCTTCACAGCAACAGAACAGTAACTAAGACAGTATACACTGGAATTCTACACAGCTGTAAAGAAAAATGAAATTTTCAGGAAAATGGAATGAGCCAGAAAATATATTAAGCGAAATGACCCAAACTCAAAGAGACAACCGCCACACGTTCTCTCTCGTGTATGCATGGGTATAAACAAGGGTAAAGACCCCAAAACCCTAAAAAAAAAAAGGTCGTGCCAAGGAAGAAGGAGTGCACAAAAGGGCGCCTGTAACATGAAAGCAGAAGAAGGTGATACGGAGGAGGCAGGGGAGGGGAAGAGGACAGGAAAGACCATGTGAGTGGAGAAGCAACTGAAACACACTGTTTTAAAATGCCATTAGGAATTTACTTTAAGTCAAAAAAAGAAAAGGGAGCCATTATGATATCAAATACTTTGCATGCTAATTTAAAAAATAAAATTTGGGGCTGGAGAGGTGGCTCGGTGGCTAAAAGCACTGGCTGCTCTTCCGGAGAACCTGAGTGTGGTTCCCATTATCCCCGGGGCTCACAACCATCTGTACCTCCAGTTCCAGGGGATCTGATGCCCTCTTCTGGCTTCTGTGGGAATTAAACATGTGGTGCACAGACATACAACAACAGGGTGAAACACTCCTTTTATTGTCTTATTATTTTACTTTACATGTATGGGTGTTTTGTCTGCATGTATTTCAGTGCACCACATACATGCCTGACACCCAGAGGCCAGAAGAGAGTCCCAGACCCCCTGGAACTGGAATCACAGCCAGTTTTGATAAACTGGAAAGTGGTGGTGCTCACCTTTAATCCCAGCACTCCAGAGGCAGAGGCAGGCAGATCTCTGTAAGTTCAAGGCCAGCCTAGTCAACAGGTTCAGTTCCAGGGCAGCCAGTGCTACACAGAAACCCTGTCTCAAATTTCCCTGCCCACCCCCCCCCCCGAAAAAAAGAGTTTTTCAGATCATAGAGAGACACATTGTATCTCTTTGTCAACTGGCTGCCAAAAGTTCTTAGGCCAATAAAGGTTCAAAGTGATGGTTCCCCATTAGAACAGACAAGGTGAAGCAGTTCACGTCTATAATCTCAGTACACAGGAGGCATGCCATGAGTTCAAAGCCAGCTTGGCTACACAGTGAATTTCAGACTAGCCTAAATTATGGTGTAAGACCCTTTCTCAAATAAAAAGGAAGAAAAGAAACATACAAACCAGAAAGTCTGACTTGACATCAAATTTTTGAGCAGACTGATCTTTAACTGAATTTACCTAGCATTACGTACATGCATTCAACAGCCAAGGCTGTAAATGTGACAGGATTCTTCTATTACATTTGTAGATGAAAACAAATTCCACAGCTGTCATCCTCTTCCTCTCCTACTTCAAGAAATTCCTGAATGTAAAGAGTGCATCAACTACTGCCCTGCTCAATCAAGGGTGCTATTGAAGAGAGGAGAGGCACCAAGACAAGCAGTCTCTTGATAAAGGCAGAGAGAAACGGAACTGAATGGGGGTGGGGGGGAGAGACGGAGCTGAATGTGGGGGCAGAGACAGAACTGAATGGGGGGGGGGGGCATGTAAAGAGACAGAACTGGAAGGGAGGGTCTATCATGAGTGACTTCCCAGAGTAACAGTCAAATGTTTGGGAAGGACTAAACCTAGCCAGCAGAGTCACTTTTAAAGAAACAAGGCTAGCTGGTAAACATGCTTGTTGAGCAAGCCTGTCAACTGGGTTCCATCTCCAGAACCCAGAACCCACAATGGAAGGCGAAAACTGACTTCTCTAAGCTGTCCTTTCAACTCCACACATACACGATGGCACACACACACCTGCACTCATACACACATACACACACACTAACCAAAATAAGGTTACTGAGTTATACTAAAATAATAATAATACTTAATATAAAGGTGGAGAATGATTGAGGAAGACTCCCAGCTGACCTCTGCCCTTGACATGTATGGAGAATTTACCCTTCCAAAGAGTTCAAACATTTTTAGTTTAAATCTTAAAAAAACGTAAAGTTGAATGTAGTTCTCTTAGTTTCAATCACATTTTACATCCAGTTCCTTATTCGGTGGGCTATGGGGCTTTGTGATTCAAATATGAAAAATCAATACTCACAGGCAACTGCTCTCCTTTTTACACACACACACACACACACACACACACACACACACACACACACACTTCACAGGCAACTGCTCTCCTTCCTAGCTTT